CCCCGCCCCAGGCGGCCATGGCTGCTCTCCATCCCCCTCAAGTCCTATCTTAGATTGGTCTTGTTTGTGCCTTTCTCGCAGTTGACAAGATGTCTATCACATAATTTTAAGGAGGTTGGGTTGCTTTCTGTTGCTGCAACTCCTCTGCTTTATCTTGACCTTTGTGTGTTTATTTTGATAATTAGGAAGGTCCAAGGAAGAATTATCCTTCTGATGTCACTGCCAGGCAGGTGAGACGTGTTTCAGCACTGTTTATAACTTGTGCCTGCGTGTGTGGTGGTCCTCAGCAGGACAGAGTTCTTGAATATGAACTCTGCAGTGCGTGCCTCTGACCTTGGAGTTCTGAGGTGACTGCTGTTAGAATGGGACTTGATTAGGTTACTTGCTCTAAATGGCTTTGGGTTTTATTTTTTTGATTTTATGTGTATATATGTATTACCTACATATATGTTAGTGCACCCGTGTTGTGCAGTGCCTGTGAAGGTCAGAAGAGGGCATCGGATCCCCTGGAACTGGAGTTAAGGACGATTTGTAGCCGCCATGTGGGTGCTGAGAATCGAACCGGGGTCCTCTGCAAGAACAGCCAGTGCTCTTAACCACTGAGCCATCTCTCCAGCCTGTTTTTGTTTCTTAATACAATATACAGATAGAATATATGCAGCCTATATAAACTGTAAAATAGCATAATAAAATATAACTCCCCCTTATGGTGAGTGTCCCTGATCCATCCACATGGCAACTTCTTGTACTCCCTGCCTCTCACCCATACATAACCATCACTTTGAACATCATTTTAATCAATTTCTTCCTTTTAGTATATGTGCCTCTTTGAGTGTGTTGTTGACATTTCCTTGGCTTTGAATCAAATAAACCTGGGATCCCACAAAATCCAATGTTGGCTCCTAAGATTGGTCTGCAATGCTGGATATAAGTGTTCCTTGCTGCTTAATATTTTATTGTGGAAGAAGTCATAGTTCAACATGCCTTTCTCCTGCTTATGACTTTGGTTGGCCCAACCTTGTCCAACAAGGAACAGTGCTACTCTGTGGATCTGAGTACAAGTCTCCTTGTATAAAGTTCTCTTGATTACTTACACAGAGGTGGGGAATGGTTGGATCAATGAAAACACAATCTCTATTGATTTAAAGGACTGCCACAGTGTTTACTGAGCGATCATGCTAATGAACACTTCCGTCAGCCCTCGGTACAGGACCACTCATGTTGTCCTGTCTCTCTTTGCTGTACTTCAAAGCTTTCATCTTCTGTCCCCTGGTCACAGTACTTGTAGATGCCACACAATGGGGCTGTAAAAGGCTGTGACTGAAAAGGAACATCAAGATTAAAGAACATGTTCATTTTGTATTTCTATAAAAAAAATCCTTTTGAAGATTTTGAATGAACAGTGTATTTAAAATAAAATCAAATATACATGACCATGTGTCTGGGTTTACAGAAACATGCACAGTATTGATGTGGGAATCAAAAGAAAACAGGACCTTTGAAAACTCCTGATCTTAAATGTGTTTTTCTTTACCTGTGACCCCACATTTGGGAAAGAAATTGGTTTTCTATTTTGTTAGCTATGTACATCATGTGTTATAAATTCACAGACAAAAATAAAAACACATCCTAACTTTATATGCTCTGAAAGTACTACTTGGCTATTTCTTTTTCCAATTTTCATGAAGTCTTTGAATAATCGTATCACTTTCATGAGAAACCTAAGGAAACAGAAGAGGAAACAGAACAAGCACTTTGCAAGACCTGCTCCAATTCCAGACCCAGGAATCCTCGTGAGTGCAATGCTTCTGGCATCCTTCTTAATTCATCTGATAATCACTAATTTTCTCTGAATTTGTAATGCCAGCTTGAGAAGGTTTCTTAAAATTCCTCTCACAACATCCTCATTGTTTAAATCTCCTTTGCAACTATCTCCTGGGAATAGCATGGAGTTGAGCTCTTAGGCCATATGATCTCTGTTTCTGAGCTGGCCACATAAGCTGCCTGCCAAAGTGTTCTAGTTTGTCTTCAATTGCCAAGAAAAAACACTCTGACCGATACCAGTTTGGGGAGGAAAGGCTTATATGGCTTACATCTCCAGGGTCACAGTTCATCAGGGAGCCCAAGGTCGGATCGCGGGGCAGGACCTGGAGGCAGGAGCTGAGGCACAGACCATGGAGGATTGCTGCTTACGGGCTTGCTCCCTGGGCCCCTGCTCAGCCTGTTTTCTTATGCAACATAGGCCCCACCTGCCCAGGGGTGGCACCACCCACAGTGGGCTGGACCCTCCCACATCACTCAGCAATCAAGAAAATCCCCCACAGACATGGCCACAGGCTAGTCCAATGGAGGTAATTCCTCAATTGAGGCTCCCTCAGCCCAGGTGTGTCAAGTTGACACTAAAGCATCCAGCACACCAAGCTTATTTATTTACAACTTTTTGGACTCCATTATTTGAAAAACAAATTCAAATTCTCCAGAGAAATAATTATTTAGAATTGAATATTTGGAATATTGGAAAATTCACTACACAAATCATAACTCATTTGATATATTTTCAGATTTATTTTATGTGTGTGAATTGGTGTGAGTGTACACTACATGGGTGCAGGTGCCTGGGGAGGACACAAGAGGTAGTCAGATTCCTTGGAGCTGGAGTTACAGGGAGTTGTGGCCACCTGAAGTGGGTGCTGGGAACCGAACTCTGGTCCTCTGGAAGAGCAGCCTTTCTGTGTTCTCAACTGCAAAACTATTTCTAGAGCTTGGGATATGTTGCTGATAAGGACTCAGATGCTCTGGGAATGCATGCTGGCCACAAGTCTCTTACAAGTAGCATTAAATTGTACTTGGTGGTGCTCATCATTTATCTAATGGCCTTTTTATTTGAAAGTCCTTTTGCTGTGTGAGGGCGGCCATTATTCTCGAAGTTTTCTTGTTCTTTTTGCTGCTGCTGTTCATGAGATTTCCTTTTGGGAGAAGCTTCCAGTACTTTTCAGAGGGCAGAAATGCCCTCTGCTCTGCCCACACGTCCTCTGGCATTATATTGCTCTAAATGCATCTATTAACAGATGAACCACCAGTTTTACTGTTAACCAAAGGCCACAGCTCACATTAGAGTTCACTCTTTGCACGGTGGTGTGAATTTGTGCCTTTAACAAATGCAATGTGTTGGACTTCTTGGAGGTAGGACACAGAGATGCAACTTCCCTAGAACTCCTCTGATCTCTAGTAGCCCATCAGAGCTTCCTTCCCTCAAACCTCAGCTGATCTTGTACCATCTCTATAATCTTTTGTCTTCCCGTCTGTCATGTAGTAGAAATCACACAGTCCATAGCTTTTCAGAGTTGCAATTCTGGCTTAGGAATGTGGATGGTTAAGTTCCACCATATAACACCGAGTTCTATTTCTAAATTTTAAAATATTCTCTCTCTCTCTCTCTCTCTCTCTCTCTCTCTCTCTCTCTCTCTCTCTCATTGGTATACACGTCATGGTGTGTGTGGAGGTCAGAAGACAACCTGAGGAGTCAGCTCTCTCCCTCCACCACCTGGTTTATAGTGATGGAACTCAAGTGTCTTCAGACTTGGCTCAGTACCCCTGAGCCCTCCCGCTGACCCAACCCTCTTTACTGTTCATCATTAAAGGCTATCTCGTTTTCTGGTTGCTAGCTCACATACTGAAGGACATCTTGGTTGCTAACCAAGGACTGCTGTGTGCAATGCTGTTTGTGACAGAAGCCTCGCTCCTGGGAGGGAGATCACTGCAACTTAGATAAATTTTCCTTACATAAAATTTAATTGAATTTCCCTTTTAATTATGTGTTTTATTCCTGTCTAGTGGGATTCTTCATAAACCTGGGGTGTTTATAGAAGAAACCCTGTTCCAGGCCAAAATATGTGGATTTCTGACACCACCCAGCATACCATGGCTTGACTTCATTTAAAGATAAAGGCAGAGCTTTGGAACACATCAAATAAAACACAGTGCCTGCACTTAACAACCAGACTGAAGTTTTGAAATTTTATTCAGTTCCATATCCTATTACTGAGTTCTTTTCTATGGTAAATTGGAGATTTAAATAATATGTCTAAGCTTTTGAAAACATATTTATGCTGAGTTTTTTGCAATTGAATTTATGGCTTATTAGTGGGAATTGTGTGTTAATCTTAGAATTCTAGATTTACCATGATTTGTGTTAATATTGCCAATAAAGCCTAATATAATCAGAATCTCCATTTAAGGTCATAGTTGACTGATGAAATGTAATTCTACATCTGTGCATGAAATGGACGGTGATTATATTGTGTCAGGAAAATGTGTGCTTTGTTACACAGTTGACTTTTACCTTGAAAATGGAAAAAAATCACAATAATTTTCTAAATTAACTGGCAACTTTTCAATTAAAACGAACAATAGATTGATTGGTGATTTGACAATTGATAACGTGAACAACGGAATTAGTCAACTGACAGCTGGTCAATTAACTCCAAATAACAGTTTCTGATGGTTGAGTGAAAATCCATGAAGTGATGGGAGACAGAGACCGAGACGAGAGGGAGGGAGAGGAGGGGGGA